GTGTTGCGGGGCAGTCCAGTCCACTTCGATGGCACGGCCGTTCCTTAAGCTTTCCTTCTAGACTAACCCGACAGCTCTGCTTTCATACGGCTTTGGAGAGGGGCCGACGCGGTAGCAGCCACCCCGTTACTGAGCCGCTTGCATCCAGTATAGTCCTAACGGCGAGAAGAAGGTCCGCCAGCTTTCCGCCATGGCGTCTTTCAGCGCGTGTGCATTACAGTGGTACCAGCACGCTGAACAGATCGCTGGCAGTAAAGAGGTGTTTTTCCAGCTGTGTTTTTTTATGGCTGCTTGTCTTAAACATCTGTGTGAATTAAGGTTTAAATGCCTCAAGATGTGGGGATGTACCCCATGTAATCCGTCCCTGCGCGTGGCCGCTCTGCAGCGACGTCCTTAAATCTGCACCGCGCCATACTCCGGGTTTTGCATAACCTGGACCTTGCTGTCCCTGCTTCCCGTGCCCTGCCTACCCGCCAGAGCTGTGACTTCCTTCCCACTGTATTTATGTGCCTTTTAATCATCTGTTGCAAACGCTGCCGGCGGGCCGAGGGGCAGCAGCGGCGGCCGAAGGCCTCGCTGTCGCGCTCCTGCAGCTCTGCAGGGGCAGTCCGGCGGCGTGCACAGGCTGTTACCGCTGTAGCTGCATTTAATGTATAGGTGAGGCTAAAACTTTCTTTCCGTTGGGATTTCGTATGTGATGTGCCTCAGGTTCTTGACCGGCCTTCCAACAGCAGAACGTCCGCCGTGCAGTCGCGGGAAACTGCGCGCATCCTTTACGCTTCATGGGAGCAGCTGCAGCTTGTTAGCTTTAATGTATCTGTCGTATAAGTCTGGTGCAGACTCAGACAAATACTTTTGTAATATGCTGTAGTTGAAAGCCTTTGGAAGATAGCGATGCTACTCGCATTGTTTTTAAGCCTTTGGCTTGTCATAGCTTTTTTATTTTTTGTATTGAAAGGAGATGGCAAAACCTAAGATCCCTAAACTGTAAGAGAAACGTCAGAGTATGTAAACCAGTACGCAGATTGCTTTAGAAAATTATCGTGAATATTGGCAAATATCATAGGGAAAATATCACATGTGTTTTTAGCTTCTCTAAGTAGTACTTTGCTTGTTGCCCGAGGTGGACTCTTTGCTCCTTTCCTTCTAGGACTGTCCTTTTATAGTGTGTATGACCTACGCCTTCCACACCCCTGACAAACTCTGTTTCATTCTGGACCTGATGAATGGTAAGCAAGCCTCGTGCAGATGGTGGTGTTGCTACAGAAATATTGGCAGAAGGACTTGCTGAGAGCAAAAGGAGAACAAGGGAAAAAATACTCTGAGGTGTGAAGCATCAGCCTGGAAGCAGGAGGGGTAGATTGATCTAAAGCAGGGAACGCATAGAACAGACTGAAAAATCTCTGATACCTTATAACATTAACATATTTACATAAAGACATCAAAGGGCCTACTAGGCTGGAAGCTTAAGGAAATGATGGTCATGTGGAGAAATGTATGAGGAGATCAGGGACACAACTTGCAGAATAAAAATAAAAGGGCTACTATAAAGAGCTCTGCAAAGAAAATAGATGGGGGAAGCATTCCTCAAAGAAAAGAAATTACACCTGGAAGCCTTAGCGTAACTCCTGTGAGAACACACGGAGACGTGAATCGGCAGAGTTAAGAGAGAAAAGATACTGCAGTGCCCTTATTTGCTGGGGATGCTCAGCACTTGTGGGACTTAGACTCAAACCCTGACTGCGGTCCTGCGGAAGCACCTAAAGATGTTGGAGCACATCTGCGCGTACCGTGTCGCAAAGCTGGAAATGTAACCGAGAAATAGAGCTCGTATCCTGTAAGTAACAAAGACTGGCTTTGGTGTTTTGCAGGTGGAGATTCTCATTAAAATCTAAGCTGTAGGTCAAATTCAAGTATCTGGTTGATTATTTTAACTTGGTAGCTTGATCAGAAAACAGTTTTCTAGGAATATTCACAATTTGATGTGTCGATGGTGTGGATTAGCTCACAGACTGACGTCGTATTGTGCCTGTTCTTTGATTAGGAAAGTGTGAAAACATCCCTAGCATGAATATTGAATATTTTGGCCCAGATGACTTTCAAGGTCCCTCCCCACCTGGGCTGTTCTATATGCTAATTTATTCAATTCTCCAGAAACCTACATATATGACTGCATTTTGCTTGCTGTGGAGATCCTTTGCGTTAAGACTCATTTGCTGGATTAGTCACTGAATGCAAATGTCTATGAAGTAAAAGTATTTTTAAAATGGAGTTTCAGATTGATGAAATTAATTGATTAACTTTCTCAGGTATTTTGTCACCATGTGTACTTGCAGAGTGTATGTTTGGGTTCCTGTATGCTCCACAGGTTATAAGAACCTACAAATGCTATGCTGTTCCCCCGCTACATCATCCTGTCTGCCTGTGAGGCAAGACTTTACTGATCGTTTAATGGCATCTCCATTCTTCTACTTTTAGGAGGAGATTTGCACTACCACCTCTCCCAGCACGGAGTGTTTTCTGAAAAAGAAATGAGGTTTTATGCTACTGAAATCATCCTGGGTTTAGAGCACATGCACAATCGCTTTGTTGTATACAGAGACCTAAAGGTAATCGTGACTGTAGTGGCTGCATTCACACAGGCGGTTGTTAGATAGCAGCAAACAAGCCAGAGATACTGATAAGTTAAATGAAGTATCTTACCTGAAACCTTTTCTTGGGAAGAATACAGATCATTTGTTTATCTTTGGCTGACTTTTCTAATAATTTTTCAACACAGTTCCAATCTGTGCTGTTATCTGGCTTAACCAGCCTGGGAGATGCTTCCTTGGGGTCAGAATAAATCCTGTGCAGTGTTGTTCATCTCACTTACCATCTTAACGATGCTGCTAATTTCGAGAGCGTACTACATGTCAGAGAGCCTGAAAGAGGAGTGTGTGTGGTGGGAGACTAATAGGAAGGCAGTTGCTCGGGGGTGTTTCACTGACGACTGGGAAGTTGAGGACTGCTCCAAGAGAGGTGTCCGTGAGCCAGCTGACAACAAAAGTGGGGGAAAAAATCCGCACAGGGGAGCGCAGAGTGTAGATTGCAGGTAAAGGGTGTAAGAGCCACACACAGACCTGTGAAAGAACCAAAAGCAATGTGAACTTGAGGCCAAAATAGATTTATTCTTTCATGCACTTTCTGTTTCAAACCTTGCCTGTTTTTTCTCTTCTGTTATTTGTCAGTATTTCATAATCTCCTCTGAAGTTGATGGTAGTGCTCTGTTAGAATATAGATTTTTATCTAGAAAGTGTCCATTATATTGATGTGGGGGGAAAAAAAAAAGCAATTACCAGTTACCAGAGGGTATTGATGTTTAGGAATGAGTTGCTGTGTTCTGAGAATCTGTCAAATGAAACATACCAAGCAGTAACCTTTCTGTGTCTATGCATTTCCAGCCTGCAAATATCTTGTTGGATGAACACGGGCACGTGAGGATATCAGACCTTGGGCTGGCTTGTGATTTTTCCAAAAAGAAGCCACATGCTAGCGTGTAAGTATTATGTATGGGAGCTTTGCTGCACATACAATTATTGCTAAGTCAGTCCTTTATGTACCTTTATGATTTAACTTTGCCTAAAGGAAAAAAATAAGACTTGCATGGCACAGGCTTGCTTTATAGCACAGCTAAGCTGGATACTCTAATAAGGTTTTTGAGTCTCCTCTTTCTGTTTTCCTGCACAGTTGTAGCAGCTGATGTGTAGGCATGGCTGGAAGATGACACATTATTTTGAGATGATTCACTGTTCAGAGAAGATAAGAACCTGACTGAGTTAAAGTACCAGATTGTTTTAATTGTCCTAAAATGGATAATTAAATATTCTGACTAAAACCCAGGATTTATTGTGTCTTTCTCTTTCTGGATCTTCGTAGAACCAGAGGCAAATTGTGTTCCTTTCTGCCTCTTGGCATCAGGTCATAACTGGGATGTGAGTTTCTTGGGTTGTGTGCGGATTCCACATCTTATCTGGCACGTTTTATTGTTAGGTCCTCATTTGCCCTGATTTCGTCTCAGAATTTATGCAAGAAGGAAAGCTTCGTCCTGTGTTATCTTAAAAGATTTACAATTCAGTAGCTTCTTGAAAAAGTTCATACCTTCGAATTACGTCAAGGGTAAAAGCAGTACATGGTGACCGCTTTCTAGCGGTGACCAGCCATGCCTTCTGGAGCAGGTGCGCTGTGCTTGCCTCCAGCACACGGGCGTTGGCTGGAAGGAGGCGCGCGAAGCTCGCGGCGAGAGCACAGGCCAGCTCTGCTCACCCTGCTTCTGGGGTCGTGGGTAAGAGCAGGTCTCTGTCGTGCAGGGCCCAGGGCTGGAGCCATCTGGCCTGAAATACCAGGAGCCCTGACGATGTCCTGGTGTCCCTCTTTCCTGTAAACGGAGTGGACAGAATACACAACTTTTCCACCTCTCTTTGTGTTCCACTCTTAGACAGAAGGACGCCTGTTGACGCCTGTACTGACCGCTTCAGTTTGCCTAATCGTTTCTGTTGTTCTGTTGTTTATGTTTTAAGGTATTTCCTCAGTAGATACATACAAACAGAGAACATGCGTGTGTATGTATGGCTAAAGAAAAAGAAAAAGAAAAAAAAAATCATGTTTAAAATTAATTCTGTTTAAATTAGGCGATCTTACTGGGGAAACACTGATTTGTTTTTTTATTATTTTTACAATAATAGTTTTGTTTGTAATCAACATTTTGTCCCTTTCTGCTTCTCAGAGGTACCCATGGATACATGGCTCCAGAGGTGCTCCAGAAGGGAACAGCATACGATAGCAGTGCAGACTGGTTCTCGTTAGGCTGCATGCTTTTCAAACTTCTGAGAGGGTGAGTGAAGTTTCATGTCTCTGTGTGTGTGTGCTTTTTTTTTTTTTTTTTCTTTAGCCTGGCCTCGTCATTGTCTGTCCCTTGAAATACTAATATGTAACCTATTACATATTACCTAAAATGGTATCGTACTGCCATCTCTGCAACTGAGACCACAACTGCACATGAGACTAAACCAGGCTTTTTTTGCTTCCAAAGCAAACAAAACACAAGCCCTGCTTCCCTTAGTACGTACAGGTGTGGGGCAGTGCGGAAGGCAGATGCTCTGTCTGCTCCTTTGACTTCTACTGACAGGCAATTTACGCATCTCTTGGCAATTGGTAGTATTTTAAATGGTATGATGTTATTCATTGCTTAAGTACACTAGTAGCACTGTTGAATTGTGGACTTCGTTTTATGCTTAAGACTTGCTTTTATGGTGAAACTCTGTGCTGCATTGTTCCCTTTTTGGCAAGATACTGCCTCTCTCCTTCTGTAGTGGTTTGGGTACATTGTAATGTGTGGATGTCTCCATTTGCTGAAGCTGGCCTGTAACCGTATTGGTGTACAAAAGTATATGGTAATTACAGCTTTGTAAACTCTCGCCTTCTCTGTAAACTTATGTGGCTATTTAGAATTTATTAAGACTAAGAGAGTTACCTGAACAGTCAGTAAGCACTGACTGGCAAGTGTTTGTTGAAAATGGCATCCTCAGTGTTAATGGCAAAACAGAAAAGATCTTTTAAGCTTTTTGGACTGCTGCTCTGTAAAGAGATCATCCCGAGTCCTCGCCCGTAATTAATCATAAGCTCTTACCTCCATCCCAGACACTGTACAAAGGAAGGTAAGCGTGTGGCTTCTGAATTGAAGTATAACGCTGTATCAGTTTAACATTAATTGTTCACAGAATAGACTACAAGTAAGTGTGCAAGTAAAGAAAGAAACGGTGTTTAAATTGGAAAAAAAAAAAAAGTATTTCCAAGTATGGACAGCATCATGCAGCTGTGAGCAGTACTCGGTCTCTCTCAACACTCACTGAAGAATTCTATAGGTAGAAAGACACCCAACAGTTTGGGTTTGCTGGGAGGAGAGTGGAGAGCTTCTTTTACACACAGGATCACCGTGGACACCCCACATTTTCTTTTGAGACCTTTTCTTTTTGAGTCACTTGGGCACAGAGCATTAGGGCATCCGATGGACTCTGGCATGGTTCTTCCTTCACAGGGTTGAAGTTGTGTGGTGAAAGAACTGGCACCTAGGGGCAAATTGTCCCATTTACCACAGAAACTCAGACTTGCAGGGCAGGGAGATCTCAGTCTTTGTGGGCTGTGATTCTTCCTGAGAGATGTGTGGGGCGGTATCTGTGGTCGGCCAGCAGCCAAAACGTTATTCATTGTGAACTATCCTTCCTCATCTGTTCTGAAGCCAATTAAATAACTCACATCCCAAAACAAGGGTTGGGCACATGGTGCCATTTCTTGGTGTGTAGTGAATTTAGTCTGGCATAAAATCTGACCATAAGTCCACAGTGAATCATTTGCTTCCCTGATCTGCTCAGAGCCTCATTGTCACAGTATATGAGGCTGTATGTTAGACATTTACTCTTGCCTTCTTACCTATAGTGCTTAAAAACAGAAACATGGAAGTCCATCAGATCCATTCATCACAGAATCACTAAGGTTGGAAAAGACCTTCAAGATCATCAAGTCCAACCATCAACCCAACACCCCCATGCCCCCTAAACCATGTCCTGAAGCGCCACGTCTACACGTTTTTCGAACACTTCCAGAGATGGTGACTCCACCACCTCCCTGGGCAGCCTGTGCCAATGCTTGGCCACTCTCTCAGTGAAGCAATTTTTCCTAATATCCAATCTAAACCTCCCCTGGCGCAATTTGAGGCCATTTCCTCTTGTTCTATCGCTGGTTACTTGGGAGAAGAGACCAACTCCCACCTCACCACAACCCCCTTTCTGGGAGCTGTAGACAGCGATGAGGGCTCCCCTCAGCCTCCTCTTCTCCAGACTGAACACCCCCAGTTCCCTCAGCCGCTCCCCCTGTGCTCCAGAAAACATTTTTGAGGATAAAAGGGAAGTAACTCTTGACTAGCAGGTTCCCAGTTGAGACAAGTTAGTGCCAAGAAAAAATGCTTTGTAATTGCTAATTAATGTATTGGTAAGTAAATAACATTTTAATTTTGAAAAATACCATTCCCTCAAGGTTTTGAAGAAGACTAAAAAACAAAGAATATATCCTAAATCTAATAAAAAAATCTCAGACTAAAATGTTTCTGCTTTCTTTCATGCTATTGTTTAAGTACTGCATGGTAAATCTGTGATTTTCTAAGGTTTTCCTTAGCTAAAAGGAAAAAATCAAACTCAAAACAGAATTCTAAAGCAGGAAAGGGATAAAGCTGATAATTTACCAGATACCATCAAATATCTTCCCGGTCACTAATGCTGCGGTATCTGTGATTACCTCCTGCTTCACCTACTTACTTTAAGATCTTGCTTCATTCTTCCCGTACAGATGAGTGCTAAGTTCTGTAGGTCGTACTCAGTCTTCTTATATAGATCAATGTTTTAAGTATCTGTGCTGTGAGAGCTGTTCAGGGTTTTCTTGTTAGATGAAGCTGTTCTGGGGTTGGGGATACATAGATGTTAATTGGTAAGGCATTTGAAACACCATCTTTAGGGATGGATCAATGCATTTAAGAATGAACTAGCCTTTTGCGTGCCTTTACGTGGAGTAACTAGATCAGATTTCCCTGAGTTTGATAATCCTCAGGGATGTCTGTGTGTCTCTTGAAAGACCTTGAATGGTGGCTTTTCTCCGAATTGGATTTTGATGTCCACCACGTGCAACTCTACTGAAAACAGAAGGGGTAAAGCGGTGCAGCTCTTTCTAATAAGAAATGAAAACAAAGTTGTAACAGATAAAACATTCATATTTTTGAGGCAGCCAATAGCCACAGTATGCTAGAGTATAAAGTCTCATTTTTCATTGTAAATGCTAAAAGTTTTACTACTTGTTGTATTGTTCTGCAGGACAGGATTGATGAGGTGGTAGAATGGGACTAAAAGAATGCTACACTCTTT